TATATTTTAAATAAGAAAGATTCTTACCTGAACAAAGTGACTGGGTGTTTCACTGCATACTGAGTGGATTTGTCCATTTATTATTGGAATTATCTTGGCTAAAGGAAGACTGACACTGGAAAGACTAGAATAGAACAAAAAATATTGATCTAGACCTGCCCTGACATTAGTAAAGCCATTAAACTGGGATTATTACAATTTAAATAATTACTGCTTTGAAAGCAACTGCTGAAAGATTGCAAACTAACATGTACCGATCAAGTTTCTTCCCCTTCTCAAGTCTTCCTCTTGATACAGGGAAGCACCAAAGCAAGTTTCAGATGGTGCTACACACGCAGTTTCACCCGCAAGAGAAATACAGTTTAGCCAGTCTGCGTGTGTGTGTGTGTAAATAGCTGTTAGAAGTGCCGACCTACAACCTCACGCTATTTCAAACTCTAGTTCAGACTTAGGACAGACAGCTGTAGTAGAGCCTTTGGGGTATTTTAAGTGATGTAAATAGAATCACAGAACGGTTTGGGTTGGAAGGGACGTTAAAGACCATCTAGTTCCAACCCCCCTGCCATGGGCAGGGACACATTTCACTAGACCATTAGCTAAATATGCTAAATAGCATATATTTAAATAAAAACATAACTCTCAGAGAGCCATCAGTTATTAAAATAAACATACATTAAACCTGTCATTACTCAAGGTGTTAATTTTAATACTTTAGAAATCGTATTTCAAGGATTTGAACTCAGCTTTTGGACTTGTAACGCTCTCACTGCGCTGTTTAAACCCAGAGTTAACTTCAAATTAAAGCTAATCGAGGGAGCAGGTCGAGAGAGGGGATTCTGCCCCTGTACTCTGCTCTCGTGAGACCCCACCTGGAGTGCTGCGTCCAGCTCTGGGGCCACCAACGTCAGAAGGACACAGACCGGTTGAGGCAAGTCCAGAGGAGGCCATGAAGATGCTCAGAGGGCTGGAGCACCTCTGCTATGGGGACAGGCTGAGAGAGTTGGGCTTCTTCAGCCTGGAGAAGAGAAGGCTCTGGGGAGACCTTATTGCAGCTTTCCAGTGCCTGAAGGGGCTACAAGGAAGCTGGGGGGGACTTTTTACAAGGGCCTGTAGTGACAGGACAAGGGGTAACGGGTTTAAATTGAAAGTGGGGAGGTTTAGATTGGATATCAGGAAGAAGTTCTTCACGGAGGGGGTGGTGAGGCACTGGAACAGGTTGCCCAGAGAAGCTGTGGATGCCCCATCCCTGGAAGTGTTCAAGGCCAGGCTGGATGAGGCTTTGAGCAACCTGGTCTAGTGGAAGGTGTCCCTGCCCATGGCAGGGGGGTTGGAACTAGATGGTCTTTAAGGTCCCTTCCAACCCAAACCAGTCTGTGATTCTATGATTCTAATCTTACGCAGTCTTCTGGAAGAGGCAGACAATCCTGAAGGGTAGTACCTTTTTTCCAGCATGCCAGTGAAGAGCCTAAAGCTCCGTAGGTGCTCCGGCTGCCTGTACTTGGAGCCTCATGGTAATGCCCACCTTCCTTGAGACCTACAGCAACCGACAATCAGAGCCTGGAGCATACAGAGCTGATCTGCTAGCTGTAGGCATCAGTGCCCTTCCCACAGCCTCATCGGTACACCCCTCAGTGTACCTCAGGGGTCACCACCCACAGGGCAAATCCCCCTTGGCCAGCAAGGCAGCCTGCTCATGCCACCGGGTTGGCACAAAGCAGAAGGTTCAGGTCTTCCGATTTCTAATTGGAGATCTGCAAGTGCCAGTGGGAAAGCTACCTCTGGTAAATTCTAGTGGTCTCATGAATGGGGAGAAACACGCAATACTGTCCCCTTGGCCGCAGCGGGGAGAGGGCATTTACTCTTGAAAAGCCAGACACAGAATTACTTCCAGCATGAGAGCTACAAGGAGGCAGGACGGTCCATAGCCTTTTTTTTGGGATTCCCTCTGAGCCCAGAGCATCATTCACGTGAGAACCACAACAAAAGAAAACGTGTACCTATTGACAGAACCATTCCGAGAGAGGTCCTGTTCAGTAGGTCTAAAAAACTCCGCCACGTTGTCCAGCAGCCGACTGAATCCTCTGTTTAAACACGTGCTCAAAACGGTACTGAAGTCTGGACTGGAGGAAAAAAAAAGACAAAACAAAAGAAAAGGTTTGATTCCTAGGAGTTTGTTTTTCAGGCTAAAAAACCCCTGCCGGTATTCGGTGCTGCAGACATCCCTCCCCTAAGAGATGTATGGCCCAAGCAAAGGCCCATGAGTACAGGCAACTCCAGAAACACCAGCTCCCCAGTAACTCCACAGCAGACCAGCCAACTGCCTGAACTCTACCCTACCGTTACCGCGACCCTGATAAAGTGACAGCATCCCTCGCTTCTCTTTCTCACCAAGTAATGCACAGAAGGGCCTTACCACATCCTTAAAATGCCCCAGATCTCGGGCAGCTCAATGTCAAGAGGAGTTTGGCATTCGGCTCAATTCCCTCCTATCTGGTGCCTTATGCTGCAGAAGCCTCGCTGCGGCAGTTCTGGGGTACAGGGGTGCACCCAGCCACTCCCCATGCATGACAAACGGACTCGGATGCGCCAAAACTGGCGTGCGCGGTATCCAAGCCAGCACGCCCCATGCGGTCAGCAGAAAAGGAGCACTCCTCCTCTGCCCTGGCACGACTCCCAAAAAGGTGAGGGAGAGGTAAGGGGTCAGACTAGGGAGGGAGAGCCTGGTCACCCCAGTGAGGCAGGATTATTTCTTACGTGTTTCAGAGCTCATGGATTTTGAAGACCCCAGCCTACAGTTACTGAATATAAATATCTTAACGCAGCGGAGTGGTCACATTCCTCAAATGAGAGTTGGCAGCTTTTTAGGGGAGAGTAGTTGTCTTTCACACACAACAGCCGTGAGGGGTGTAATGTGCATACGGGATATTTCACTGTACCTTTCTAGCATGTCTCTCGTTTCATTAAGTAATTTAATCGTAGCAATGTCTCTTTCTGTGAGTCCACAGGCCTAGAAAAAGCAAAGAACACACTGTTCAGTAAGAAATCCACTGGCAGCTTTAAGAAGAGCAATAGAAGAGTGCTGTACCATGGAATTAAGTCACGATGTACGAGTCAAACCTATTTTAAAAAAATACGTAGGTGAGATTATTTATAATTTCTGTCCTAATTTCCCTTTTAAATGCTCACTGTAGGATTTGTTTACTGCACCTGGTATTAGCAGGAAATGCCAGAGTAAGCGAGCAGAGTATTCTCTCCACTTCCAACCTCCACAGCTGAAGCAAGCCTGGCGTAAGGGGGGTAAGCACACACAGTCACAGACTGCAGTCTGCTTCTCCTTCATATACCGAGCTGGGTTTTCTCCAGCCTGTGCCGTGGATGGAGACAGACTCCTTCAGGCAATGTAGGAAAGTAACGTTACAACTGAGGTCAGACACGGCCCTCTCTTGCCTCCTGTTCGTTTTCCAGCCCCAGGCACCAAGCTCTGGGCAGCGCACCACCGCTGCCTTGTGCGTCAGCCAGGGCGTCAGGAGCATCTGTGAGCCCTGACGGTCCCAAACGTTGCGGCACGCGGTGTGGGCTACGAGCGGTAACTGGGCTGTGTGCCCGAGCTCAGAGCTGACCTCCTGAGGGTGACACTTGGCTTCAGTCACATCTGAGGAAAGGACAACTGTCCTTTGCCTACATTACAGAGAGAAGGGCACACGAAGTAGGGCGGAGAGGCATCGCCACTTATTAAAGACCCGGGTGCCCCGGTATCACCAGAGGACTGTACGCACCCTTCCCTCCCCCAGAAATCCCACACGAAAAACGCAGAATGAAAAGAGGTAGGTGGAAGAAGCTGAAATAGGCACCTGGGTAGCCAAAGGGTTTTCTTCATCTGGCATCAGATAATGACACAAGGGAGAGTTAGATGCAATCTGATCTGAATTTTTATCTTCCACTACTTTCCTGATATCTTTAAGTTTCTGCTCCAGCTCCAGAAGAGAGAGGGTGTGCTTAAGGGAAATACTGGAAAGGAAAAAAACACCCCGTTGGTGTTGATTGCAAAATGAATGACCCTTCGTTCTCCTACCAGTAACATTGTCACAAGCAGCAAGACTCGCGTCTGCTGCACCATCAGAGCTGTAATAAAAGCCTTGTTTTGGAAGAAGCCAGTACGCCTTCCTACCTTTTTTTTCCTAGTTCTAATAAAACTCATTGTTTTGGGAACAGTCATCACAACAAAGATTAAAAGCTAATCACAGAGAAATACAGGCTCTTACCTTCCAAAAACTTTATGCACAGCTTGTTTAACAATAGTTATTAACTCCGTCAGTCCTAGGAGGAGGGAAGTGTCAAAATTAGTCTCGTGATTTGCTCAAGTCTAGAAAAAAGCAGCATCGTGCAAGTGTAGTTAGCTTGTAGTAAACATCGTACCATCTCCTAAAAGGTGCTGAATGCTGGATAAATATTGCTGCTGAACTTCAGGGGGGGCGAGCGGTGTCTGTGGGGAAAAATAACACACAGGCCTGTGACACGTCAGGAGAGAACATGGCAGAAACCACTTCAAACCTGTTGTGGCTAATTCCCTTGACCTTCACAGTGCCCTGCAGCAGACCGACTCCCCTGTTCTCACACCACTCTCTAGCTTCTGACTCTTCTGCCACCAACCCCTGGATCCTTCCTAAGTCCCGTGGCATTCTGCTCTTCAATACTATGCGGATCTTTCTTCCACCTTCGGTGGCACAGAAAAACCTCTCACTTTTCATTCATATGTAGGAAAGGCTCCTAACAAAATGCATCGCAGGTGAAACTAGACCCTCCGCCACCCCAAAAGTTAAACCTAGTGGAATGGGACATTTATGCCCAACCCTAACAAAAGCTTATCTGATGGAAAAGAAGCTTTGAGGAACTAAGATGGGATCCCACTTGCTCCAGCAGAGCACCTCTGAGCTGGCCCCGTCAACCCACTTCTCTACTGGATAAACAACAGAAAGGAAAGACAGTTCCAGCCCAAACTCATTTTGCCCCTTTAAAAAAGCTTTTTCAGGTTTCACAAAACAAAGCCCTGGCTTTTGCCCTCTGGCTGCCCTAAGGAAAGCTCAGACCTGCCTTGACACGCTGTTCCTTGACCCTCAGCAGGAGCTCTCCCAGGGCAGGCAACAAGGACTGACATGAGTTTGTATCCGTTGATTTTGGATGAGCTGTCCAACAATGTGCAGATCTTATTCTCTCTGGTGGGTTTTTGCTTGCTGTGGGATTGATCTGTTTTTACTGAGCAGTGACAGATACACTGCATGAACAAATAACAAGTTCACAACCAACAGATGTTTAGGGAGATGCCCTTTTGGGGTTAAACAAAGCAGTCAGAATGCCTGCAACATTTTTCTTCTTTAATCCCAGAAAAATGTAACCAGGGGAATTCATGTATGTGCTAGGAAGGCCTAAGCATTTATATCCATGTGCGTACAGGTCTCGGATCACTCACAGAGTATTACTGCGTGACAAAAAATGGATGAAAACAAACACATTATTCTGTGTTGGTGTGTAGGTGTGAAGTAACCTTCTTCAAGCAATGCAAACGCCGACAAAAGTACTCTTCCATACTGCTAGCGTTTGGTTAAGCAAGAGTATCACCCAATCTTCCCAATTTAGAGGCCACTCTATCTTACTTCGGGTAATGCTTCCGCATCTCCTACAGAAGACTCGTGCTTTCATTCGAACACTCCTAAGCTACGCCCTTTTTCCCTCCCACTGAATCATCGAGCGAGTGGAAGTTCCACCTCTGAAACGAGCCAAGAAACTTACGGTGCTGTTTTTGCCGAGCGCAGCGTTATCCAGGTAGATGTAACCGCCAATAATATTTAACTGGACTCGCAGAAGGACTACGAGCATACAGGTACTATAGACAGCTACAATGCTTCTTGTGAAACCTGGAAAGGAGACCACAGAGTAACTTCCAAGCCCAAGCGGTAAGGGTGAGCCCAGGAGGGAGCGTGCTCTCCACGGCTCCAGCAGCGCTGGGGATCTCTGAACGCGCAGTCACGTTTCTCTCGCTGCCTGCCGCAACGCGTTTTCACAACGCACATCCAAGGTGGTCTGGAGTCTAGTATGTGCTGGAGCTACGTCTAAAGCGTCCCATTTAAAGTCCTATGCGGGTAGAATTTTGCACCTTACACAAGTTATTTTGGGAAGAACTGAAACTTATACAAGTTGCTCCAGAAGGAAAACGGACGTACTTGTCAAACCGTCTTCCTGCATCAGGCCAGGAATTCAGACAGCATGTTCGGCCTCGTCATGCAGTTAAGACACAGAAGGCACAGCAGCAGCTTGGGAAGAAGGCTGCCTAAGGCAGGAGCAGCTAACGGCTGAGGAAATCAAACTACAAAGAGCATCGGCCACCAGCCACCAGAGGATGTGCGGAAGAAGTGACATGAATAAATGCGAACGAATGCTGAGTAGCAAGGACACGGGAAGAAATGAGCCGGATCAGAAGCAGCATCTGTAAGGGTGGTGTGAGAAGGAGAAGCAAAACCAAGATGAAGGAAAGACAAAACCAGGGAGGTGGTAGGGATAGCAAGCGGTACCAAGGCACCAAGAGCAGTGAAACAGCTCAGTAGGACTCACAGCACAGTTACCTGAATTCACTACTCTTCCTTCCTTCCCACTGCTTCCATCAGCCAATAAATAAAAAGAGGAGCCACAGGGTTCATAACCACCGCTATGGCGGATCTCGCAAACTGGCTTGGGAAGCGGAAACTGCTGCCCATGTAGGGCTGGCCTCCGTTTCTGACTGACGTTTGCTGTTAGGCTCGGCACAGAACGTACTGAGAAACAAGTCCGATCTTTCTGCGACGGCACAGAAAGTCCTCACGCCTTTTTCTTCAGTGGGGTAACACGAAGGCCAGCAAGACTCTTCGCCTTTGTTCCTGAGCTGCTAACTTCCCCCGAGGCTATGAAAAATTCCTTCCTGGGGAGCTTCGGGGGGAGGGGGTGCAGGGAAAGGTCTGCCACAACAACCCAGTGTAAAGCGTGCACTTCGAAGGGGGTGAAGGACATTTTAGATTTATGCTAAATTATTATGCAGATGGAATCTTTCATTTCCACTTACTTATTATCTTTAAATCCTCCCATATTTCTAACTTGTTTGCTGGCCTGTAGGAAACATAAATGGAAAAATTAAACATTAAAAAGCATATTTTCCTTGGAAATTAATAAATACGTTCAGTGAAACAGCAGTCCTCTAAGGCAAGGTCACTTAGCTGCTATAATTATGCAGATCTGATTCAGGTCTGCATTGATCTGCCCCATTCAAACCAGCAGCACACGAACAACACAGTCACAGAAAGGATATTCAAGCTTTCTTGTATTCGTGTCGTACTTAGCGATGCCCATTACACACTCACGTTACCCATTTCAAGTTACCATGCTAAGCAGTCAGGAAAAGGCCGCTGATGGTACAAAGGGGTCTTTTCTGGGGCCTTGATCCTGCATACATTTAACGTAGGCCTCAGCTCAGCAGGGCTTCCGGCAGCCAGGCGTAAGCAGCGCAGGATGAGAACTGCGATATCCTACTTTATTGCAAGACTTACCGTTGCCTGACTCGGTTTTACACTTCAGATTTAATCACCAAAAACCAAAGAGATCACGACCACCTGAGGGAAAGAAGTCTTGCACCATCCACCAAACTGCAAGTCGATCTTTCTTCTTTTGTTGAGGTAAATTTACTTGGTTTTTTTTTGACCTGACCAACTGATAACATTTGATGCATTCTGCGGTCAGAAGAGCCGGACTGTAGACTGCATGGGCACACCTGAACTCCCTACGGTATGCCACGTAGCTGCGACTGCTCCCCAGGAGGAACGCCAGCAATACAGTGGCAGTAGCAGGGGAAAGAGGGAGTTAACCACCCAAAAAGCATCACCAGCCATCCTCGCCTGTGAAGCACTGCCAGTAAAGAATGGCTACCGTAACATCCATTGTGGAAGAAATAATGTGTGAAAGCCACTTAGAGAAACATTTGGTAATTCCTTGGAATCAGAATTAACACTTAAATGTTTCAGGCAGTTAGTTCAGATTAACCTACACTTCACAGTAACCTACGTGATGGAACATAACATGCTTTTCACCAGGAACAATTTCTCTTTCTAGGCACAACACGTCCACTTTGGCATTAGTTTGACCATTGCATCACTTAGACAGACACTGAATGTTTTTAAGCTCACAACTAGCAATTAATGTGAATGAAGTGATATAATAAACTATTAAGTCACAACACTCAAAAGAAAAGAGACAGACTGAAGAAAGGATAGCTGGAAGACAGACAAAGACCCATGGCGCACACAAAAACAGGTTACACACTTCTATTTTTGCAAGCTAAATCAGGAGTTTTAAAAGCTACCCTAAAGCGAAACAAAGGAAAGAGTTAGAAAAACCACAGCAATATTTCTATAGGTAAAACACATAGCAGGACTCAAAACCATGTCTGTTACTGAAAAGCACTTAAGTTTTCCATGCCAACTGAAGAGAGGGAAGCCGATATATCAAAGTCAGCCAACTAGAATTCCACTTACTATGTCAAAATGTTTTCTAGAGCTCATGGTTACAAAGCTTCTCCTCACAGCGTGAGGCAAGAACCAGGTAACAGTTTAAGTCTACAAGTATTAAGCCTGATGGTGGAAACGGACTTTTCGGTCTTCATCTGCTGCAATTTACTAAGACTCGGCTGCTGCTCAAAGCTCAACTTTTAGTTCACATTTATCTGTTTGGAAAAGCTATGGAAGCAAAACCAAACAAGAAAACGGAGGTTTGGAATAGAGCTGAGCGCCAAACAGGTGGGAGATAATGCTTACAGTCATCAAAGTGATTATAGGCTGGGGCAATCCCAAGCACA